TGGTGGGCCTGAGAGCTCGTCTCCTGCCCCTCCGCCTGCCAGGTGGGGCCTGTCTGTCAGAGGCTGTGTGTGGCTGAGCATGCTCAGGGCAGCCACAAGGAGCCAGGGAATTAGGACCGCCTGACTCATGATAGAGAACTTGCTGTCACTCTTGGCGGGTAACCGTTGGAAGCGCTGTCCTTATGCTGCCACCGAGGGTAGCTGCCTGGTGGAGGCGGTGGCAGTAACTGGCAAGCTCTCTGCAGAGGTGGACCCCTTCTCTCTGTGCCCCTGGGGCTGACGGGGCAGGGAGGATGGACGCAGCGTCTAGGGCTGAGACCCAGCACGGCCAGCTTCCATGTGAGCCCTGCTCTGCCGTTCCTGGGGGAGGGCCTTGCGTGGCCTCTGTGTGCTGGGTGCAGGGTCGAGTTCATGTGAAGGGAAACAGGAGTCTGTCTCTTGCCTTGCAGAGCAATGCTGATGACGGCCTGCGATCTTTCTGCAATCACGAAACCCTGGCCCATCCAGCAACGGGTACGTGGCTTAGTGGTGATGAAGAGTAACTGAAATGTCAACACCGGGGCAGCCGGTTCCTGAGGCCGTCTTGGCAGCCGCGCTCCGGCCTGCTTCCCTGGCTCCGGCACTGTTAAAGCCGATGACTGAGCAGGGAAGCCTGTCATTTGCAGGAGATTCACTTGTACTTGGTATCTGATAGGTCAGGAAAGAGCATCTAGTTAACGCATAGCCAAGCCAGCTCCTGGGAAGGCTTGGTCTCGGCACTATTTGGGCTCACTTGGGGATTTTTTTAGCACATCCTTTTAATAATATCGAAAATTAGAAGGAAAGTAATTTTCTTAGGTTGGCTTACTAGGCTACTCTCTGCTCTAAGTGGGCTTAGCAAGTGGAGTGTCCACGTTCCTGGGGCTGGTAGACGTGGGAGTGCTGAACGGATGTCAGGAAGGACCGGCCAGGAGCTCCTTCCTCGGGAGACCTGACTGCCTTGCTCTTTCTCAGGGGTGGAGGAGGCTCAGGGAAACCACTGGGATGCAGAGCTGTCTGCGTAGTGGCTCAGTCCCTCGGGGTGTGCAGTCTTGGTGCCCCAGGGAAGGTGTGGACTTTCTGTGTGTCCAGCCCAGCTGCCGGTCATGGGCACAGCAGCCCAGGCTCATGCAGTGAAGCCTGCTGAGAAGAGAGATGAAATCCCCTCCACGTGAGGAGGCCGGCAGGCCCTGGCACTCAGGCGGTGGTCACGACCTCCCTGCCCTTGTGAGATGGGACTGTAGGCCTGTTTCCAAACAGGAGGGAAGTGGAAGACGGGGTCTGTCTTCTGCATGAAACTACCTAGTGTTTCGTTGTAGGAAAAAAAATAAGAAAGGAAATTTGTTTTTATAAAATATAAAGAAAAACTATTGGGAGCTACCAGAGAGAAGGCTGGGGAGGAGGCTGATGTACTCACAGAGGCCCGCGGAGAGCACCCTCCACCTGCCTTGGGCCTCCTCAGCTACGCCCTGGACCTGCGTGCCGTCTGTCCAGTGGAGCTGGTTTTGAGGGCTGGATGGCAGTGCCGGCCTGGTCCACGGTGTGGGCGGTCTGCAGGGTGGAGCTGGCCTGGAGCTGGCCAGCAGCTCTGCCGACTGCGGCGGCTCTTCCCGACTCCTTCGTTCTCGGAGCTAAGCCCGCAACCCTGTGAGTGCCGTGACTGTCGGCAGAAACCTCCACCACGTCAGAACCAGGGGACAAGAACACGAGGGCACACCCACAGAGATGGCATGGCACGTGTCGGGATTACCAAACTGACACTGCCTTAAAGAATAAATCGTGATTCACCCCCAGAGAGAAAAAAAGTGAGACTTTGTGTTGGAGCAAGTAGCCACTGGAATTAAATAAGCAAAAGTAATAAAGAATCATAAGAATTACAAATAAAGAAGTAAACTATCTCCACTTGCAGGTAAAACTATATCTGGCAAGCCCAAAATAAACAGTGGGCAGGCTAAATGAGCAAATCAGTTATAAGATAAAGTAGAAGAGAAGCCTCTGTGACGGGAAAGAGTAAATAAAAGTATTAAATACCTAAGGATAGACAAAACATGCAAAAACTATATGAAAGAAATTAGAAAACATTTTGTGTTGCTAAAGCAGAAGATGAGATTGATATAAATGAGACGGTGTAGCATGTTCTTAAGAGAAAAAAATCAGTAGAAAGGTATCGTTTCTCTCTCTTTAAGCCAATTTACAGATTTTAGGCTATTAAATTTTTGTTCTCGAGCTAGAAAAAAATGATTTTAAAATTTATTTAGGAGGGAGTAAAAAGCAAAAAGACACCCAAAATTTCTGAAAAGGTGAAGCAATGAGGTGTTGGTGTTCTGATACGGAAACAATACTACAAAGTCTATAATCACAAGTGGTTTGGGTGGCAGATCAGCAGAACTCAGGAGAACCGTAGATGGTCCAGAATTGCACAGCGTTCACTGTATAACAAATAACACTCCAAATATAGGAAAGAGCTTTTACTCAATAGTGTGGGCTGAGCGAATGACCAGGGGAGGGAGACAGGACGGGGTCCAGTGCACACATGTGGACTCCAGGTGAAGCCAGGATCTTCAGCAGAGGATCAGCCCACGTGAGTTCTAAACACCTGGTGGGCACCTGTGGGACAGGCTCAGGGTGCACAAAAGCAAAGGACCCAACCAACAGAGTCAGCCCCACAAACAGGAAGCCTGTGCCCCCACAGACTCCAGGCACAGACACGGAGGACAACTGCCCGTGTACCTGACCGTTAATATCCGCAACAGACAAAGAGCTAAGAGCAGAAGAAAGATGCCAACGACCCTGTGGAAAAATGAGCCAGAGATGCGAACACAAGGTGGTGGCTTTCCTACCGGGAACGACTTCTCCTTTGAGTCATAAGAGAAACTGAGTTAAAACTACACCAACCCAGCAGGCCTGCACGGAACCCCGGGCCGGTGCTGTTCCCGACAGCCAGACCCTGGAGGGAGCCGGAACGTCCACCCAGGAGAGTGGGTCAGCGTGTGGCAGTGTACCCCTCGTACTGGGGGGTTCTGTGCCATTCAGGAGGGTCACAGATGACTCGGGAACGTGCCACACCAAGGGGCACAGCCCAGTGCCATTCACAGGAAGTTCTAGCACAGGCAGGCTGGCCTGTGGGAGTGGCCGTGTGCTTCTGGAGGGAGGGAGAGAAGAGCAGAGGACGACAGGAGCCTCCTGGGCACCTTCTATCTCAGCGGGGTGGTGACACACAGCTGCGGGCATCTGCTGCTACACGAACCATCCCCTTGGGATCCACACAGCTTCTCCCCCATCGTGGAATCCACAGGTTGACAAACATCCCGGAGTTTTGTAGCGTGCTCAGTCGGGGCAGCTGGGGGTCACTGAGGGCTCCGAGTCGCAGCCTCGAGGAGTATTCAGACTGGAGCCTGTTGGGCACTGCTTCTGGCATCTTATCCCAAAGACTCCGGGGAGAGCATGGAAGTGCTTATTCACGGCTGTTGGGAACAGCAGAGAAGCAGCCCACACACTCATCAGCAATGACTCAATAGACCACGGCCCGTCCCACACAGACCCACGCATGTCATAGAAATGAGGGTCATCTCTGTGAAGAGTACAGAGAGAGATGTTTGTGTGAAAAAAGCAAGCTGGACAAAAAACGTGTTATGTCGCTAATTACATACGAAGGAGCAACATGTGAATATCTGTATTATGTAAATGTTTATATTAAAAACAGGTTTATCCACAAAGGGAAGTGAGTGACTTCCCACAGAAGGACAGTGAAAGGGGTGTGTCTAGCCAGAGTCCGAGCCCAGAGCTCCACCACGGCCTGTCGCGTAGGTTAGACTCGGACGTGCTAGCAGTTTTCCTGACTGTGAAACAAAATTGAGTGTATTTTTAAAATCATGAAATCTTGGACATAAAGGAAACAAACTTGATGTTTAGTCCTAGGAAGTGCTGATTCATTCTAAGGGACATTAAACCCTACCACCAGAACACCAGAAAAGACCGTAGGGAGCCCTGGGTGGTGCATCATCGGTGGCAGTTCTGTATTGACACAGCGTGGGCATGTGGCACAAAGGAGCATTAAGAAATTTCACCAGTGTTAAGAGCTAGGATTTCCAGCACAGACTGAGGCTTGCAGAAACCCTCTTGTCCTGAACTGGAGTTGGAGATGTTCTGTGAACCAGGTGTTCCTAGCTCGGGCCCCTGAGGGTGAGTGCAGTGAGCAGACCGGGCCCCGCCTGAGACCTCCAAGCCCTCAGCTAAGGAGCAGGCGGCGTGCCGCAGAGGTGGCCTGGCACCACCAGGAGGCTCACAGGACGAGTGGGAGACCGTCTCCTCACACCAACAAGGGGCCCCAAGACCCCGGAGAGGACCCGGCTTAGTGAGCCCCTGTGCCAGCATGGAGTCAGGATGGAAATGCAGAATTGTATCCCAACCCACGAATTCAAATTAACACTAAAAATACTGAAAACAGCCTTCCGTGGCCATCTTGAGAGCCAGGTTATTTTTTTGAAGTGGGGAATCGGGCATTTCTCCTTTCTTTTATAGGTTAAAAACTGTAGGCAGCCTTGGGATAACTACACGATTGCCGTGGGAAGCTTCCCTCTATCCTATTTGAACTCATAAAGGAAAAGGGAATGTCGGCTTTGAACATCACCCTTTCTCAGCCCTGAGTTGACGGATGTAGGCAGAGATCATTAATGATTGCCAGCGTCACAGACGGGAGCACCTGGGCTTCTGCAGCCACTGGTGGGAGTGCACAGCACTGCCGCGAAGGAGCCCCACTGAGACTGATTTCCGCTGGCCGGCCCCCGACCACACGCCCTAAATGCAGGGGCCAGACCCAGCAGCCTCAGGGAGAGCATCTGCACATCCCGACTGCGAGACTGCAGGATAAGCCACCAGTTGTCCATCGAGGCAAGGAGAAACTGTGGGGAGAGCTGAGAGGGGACATGTAGGTCAGAAGAAGCTGCAGGGACCGTCCACCCACCACCGTGATCAAGGGGCCTGTTGCTGCTGACCTGCACATGGCACGGGCTGCCTCTCGCTGGCCAGCAGAAATGGCACCTTGCTCTCAGTGCTCATCACAGAAGGTTGTGAGCGCCTCCCACGCAGTGAGTCAGTGCTGTCTGCGGGGCTCACCGCTGCGCGGTTCTGGTTATCGTGTCGGTGAGACAGAGACCTGGCAGGTGGGGGGTCTCCACCCAGGGTCTCTGTTTTAAAGACTCACGTGCTTCTCCTTGCCTGAACTCAGCCCTTTGTTTGTTTCAGATAGCAGAACTGGTAGCAACTGAATTTTTTGACCAAGGAGACAGAGAGAGGAAGGAACTCAACATCGAGCCCACCGTAAGAACCCCACCTCCTGGCACTGCCCTGGGGCGGCCCAGAACCATGCTTTCTCACGCTTCTGTGGGGTCTTCCCCGGGGGACCCGGTGCTCTTTTGTTGCTTGGCACTTGTTCTGTTAGAAGTGTGAGTGTCACCCGGGAGGCAGAAGCGAGGAGAAGACACTCCGCCCCAGGTGTCCCTCTGGCCCTGTAGCTTCTGATGACACAGGCGCTTGTGTGAGGCAGGTGCCGCTCTGCGACGTTTTCATGGCTGCGAGCCACACCTGCAGCCCCTCCTGGCACCTGCCCTGGCGTCATGATGCGTGGGGCCCTGCCACCTGCGGCACAGTGGTGGACGGCTGTTACTGGACATGTGTTGCGCTCTTTACTGTCAGGAGGTTCCCAGAGGGAACGGGACTGGGGGCACAGATCTCCAGCAACAAAAGCTTCCCGCACCGCGTCCATCTCGTGCAAACCTCCCCAGTCTTGTCCGTCCCGGGGTGGGGAGTGCATGAGGCTGCCACCGGCTTCCCAGGCTGGCCCAGTTCATCTTTCAGAGCCCACTTTTGTTGTGTTCTGCAAACAAATGCACCCCTGTTTGTGTCTGTTTTCAGGATTTGATGAACAGGGAGAAGAAGAACAAGATCCCCAGCATGCAGGTCGGGTTCATCGACGCCGTCTGCCTGCAGCTCTACGAGGTATTTATGGGGAGCCCATGGTGTGCTGGCTTAAGGCATGTCATGAACTAAAGCCTGAAGAAATCCGAGAGATTGGCACTAGGCACATACTTTTTGTTCTAAACCGAGAAAAAAGGGAAAAAAAGTAGCTTTGCTTCTTTTGCTGATCAATATGTTTGCATGGAGCAGGGAACACATTTTGTATTTGCTATTCTCAAAAACTTCATTCAGCTTAAAGGCCCACTGTGTGCAGGCCCAAGGGTTCCCACTGCGTGCTAGCTCACAGGCGCCTACTGTGTGGGGCTCCTCGGGTGTGGGAGGGTAGGGCGTGGCAGTGCCCTGAGGAGCTGCCGGGTGTGGGAGGGTAGGGCGTGGCAGTGCCCTGAGGAGCTGCCGTGCACTCTGCTCTCCTGCTCTCTCTGCCCCACACCTGGGCCTCCACGAGGAAGCTGCCTCCACTTTTCCTCTCTGCCACACTGTGATTGTGATCTTAAGAAACTTGCCCCGAGGACGGGAAGGAAGTGTCTAAGGAAGCGCAGGTTCCTGTCCCCACACTCCTGCTGGCTTGGCCTATTTGGACTTTTAGGAGTTGGGGGTTTTTATTTGTCTGTTCACATGTGAAGAGATTCCCCCCTCCCGCAATACCCAGTGGACTAGTTTAGATGCTATGACCCAAGTACAGAAAGAAGATTTCGTCTTTCAAAGTTCAAACAGAAAACTGCTTTTAGCCTTTGATTATTTGGGAAAGGAGCGTTCAGCATGGAGTTACCCTAGCACGTCCAGAACAGGGAGTCCTGGAAACCCCCGACCAGGGTGTTTCTGGGATTCAGAGACCGGGTTTGCAAAGTTCGTCTTCCAGGGATGAGGACTCTTCACCCAGGCAGGTGGCTCCTGAACCACACCTGGGGTCCATCCAGAGAACACAGTAGGGAAGCGGTGCCCCGAGGGGAAGGGGAGCCCCTCCAGGGGCACCGGGCACAGCCCCTCCTGTCCTGCCTGCCCTCCCTGCTTATCAGTCCTCAGGAGCACCAGGCACTGGGCGTGGCACTCGGCAGCACTGCCGCCTCCCCACGGCTGGTGGAGGCCCAGCTGAATATACAAATGGGGGTCTGGGCCTTTCAGCCCTTGTAGAGAGAGTAGTGTCAGATCACCTCTGCAGGGTCGTCCCCTGGGCGTCATGTACATACAGAGAGCCCTGAAAACGCCCTGTGAAGCGAAGCGTGTGACCTCCGCTTCCACAGGAGTGGCATGTTCTGCCGCAGGGACCAGCAGGGAGCAGCCACTCGGGCCCCACGTGGGGAGTCGCTGGAGGCAGAGCACGGCTGTGTGCTTCCCACTTGCTCCCGCAAGCAGGGACTGCGCCTCATGGCGTAGCGCCTCCTGGCTGCTGTGACCGTCTCTGTGCGTCTTTAGTGGGCACACCAGAGCAACACAGCACCCCAACCCCGTCACCGGTGCTATTCAGTGTGTCTGTTGCGAGGAAATCCTCCTCCATGACATCGCTGCAGCTGAATGCAGACCATGGTGCCACTCTGAGTGAGAAGTGACCCTGACGATGGCCTTGGGTGAAAATCCCCTGTGCCTTGCATAAAGCCATTCTGCAATGCCGCGGTCTGGCTGGGCACAAAATCACGAGCCACTCACAGCCTTGTAGATTCAAACAGCAATTCTTTATTCCCGAACTCTCACCGGCCCTCTACACGCACGTTCTGGGCAAAATCCACACCTCCACTGGGCTCTGCATCCCAAAATACTCTCTGAATCCCGCGAGAACTCAACAGGAACTCAAGGAGTCGGCGCGCCTGAGGCAGCAGGATACGCCCTGTTCCCAGCAGGAATCACCTTAAACCTGGAACCGCCCTAAACCCCCATCCCCCTTAAACCCTGATCCACCCTAAACCCGGATCCGCCCTGGTCCTTGAGCAAGGTCACCTTTCATGCAAAGTCACTGCAAATGACCTGGGTCCACCATGGAGAGTCCTTCCTCTAAGCAACATGGGGTAGGCTGACAAAGAAACTGCGAGGCGTCACTCCTACTTGGCACGCCTCTCAGCACCGCAAGCCTGCCAATCCCCCCCGAAGCCGTCTGCACCACACAGAAACAAGCCCTGTTCCCCAAACAGCGGGTCCCACCCAGCCCAGCCTCCACACCTCGGTGCTGCGGGGGACTCCCTCCTGAGGTCCCTGTGTGTCGTCCACGTGGGAAGGCCAGGCTCCCGAGAGGAGTGGAGCGTGGCCTGGGCGGGCTGCGGCCTGCGTCCTCCACCTGCTTCCTCTCTTCCACTCCAGGCCCTGACCCACGTGTCGGAGGACTGCCGGCCCTTGCTGGAGGGCTGCCAGAGGAACAGGCAGAAGTGGCAGGCCCTGGCAGAGCAGCAGGAGAAGACGCTGGTCAACGGGGAGAGCGGCCAGGCCAAGCGGAACTGAGGGGCTGTTGGCGCGGCGTGGAGACTCCGAGGCACCTCTGGGAGCCCCAGCCCACTGTGCGCCGAGCAGACCGTCCACACTTGGCCACTGCTGTGTTCTTGTTTCTGCACGGCTTTCGAGAGCAGCATGACGTGTTTTCAGGGGACGTTTCCACAGGTTCTGGGCATGTCTGTGCCACGGGAAGCCCACGGCCAGGTGGGGCTGTGTGTGCTGGGGGGTGTGGGTGCCGCTCTGCCGCTGCTTCCTGCCTGGGTTTATGAGAACCGGCTCCCGTGGTCTGGAGTCTTGCTTGTCTCAAGAGGCCGGGAGGACAGTGTGTGAGCCCTGGTGGGCCTGCTGGGGGCCAGGTGGGGTTAGGAGGAACAAGGGTCTGCTCAGGTGGAAAGAGTGTGAGGCCGCATCGCAAGGAAAATGCATCCACTGACCTGCTGCTTTGTGAAAGAATGGGGGTGGGGCTTGGCCATCCCCCCAGGACCCCCAGCGAGGGCCGCCCGTCTCACCTGCAGGGGTCAGCAGGTCAGCGGAGAAGCCCCATTCCACCACCAGCCAAACACATGCCGTGGGAGGTCCTGCTGAGAAGCAGTTTTGAAATCTGAACTTTTGAAAGTGATCTTGTCCTCTTCCACGTCCTTCCAAAGCACACCTAGATCCCAGCGTGACTGTTGGAGCGCTGACCTGGAGGGACACCGGGCTCCAGGACGGAGCTCCGTCTCTCTTCCTTCAGTCTGTCCGGTGGGCCCTGGAGGAGAGTTGCACTGTGTCGGCAGCAGGGCTCTGATCCGGAGCTGTGGGCAGAGCGGAGGGAGCAGGAAGGGCGCCTCCGCCCAGTGAGGTCAGAAGCACCGCAGCTGAGAAGCTGCGGTCAGCTCACAAGGCGAGCAGGGCCCGAGCACGAGGCCTGGGCACTGCCCTCGGCCCGCGGTGCGGGTGGCCCTGCAGCTCCCAGTCAGTGCGCACCCTCCTGGGGTTTGAGCCCACCTCGGCGTGCCCCTGAGTTCCCACTTTCTTACAGGGAGGGAAGTGTCTGCTCTGGGTAACTGTCACTAAGGTGGACAGGAGCCCTGGGTGTGGGTATGCCGCGGACTCAAGGTCTTTCAGTGCCCTTGGCTCCTGTTCACATCCTCTAACGCCCTGAAACTCAGCGTGTTCCTCTTAGTGCTGTGCGTGCGTGCGTGTGTGTGTGTGTGTGTGTGTGTGTGAGCCCCCAGCTCTATTCCTGCCATTCAAGTCCAGAGAAGAGGCAGGATAAAGTGTGGCCATCACTGCACTGTGAGGCGCGTCCAGGGAGCTCTAGCTGGTGTTGTGGACCTGGACCTTCAGAATGTTTTGTTTCATGACACAGGTGAAATCTAACGTTGCCTCTTGGTGGCACTGGAGTGTGAATCACACAGACTCACCAGCAATAGTCGTGTCTGCACACTGAACGCACCTGTGCACGCGTGCATGATTCTCCAGGGTAGACTCTCTGACAAGCTTCATCACACACCTGTTATGCCAAAATACAGAGCCGCCCACTCTCGGGCAGTGTGCTCAGGCCCCTCTGGCGTGTGCCGCGAGACAGCGCCGATTCTGTGTGGAGGGTCTGGATGTGTGTTTCAACAAGAAGGAGAGGCACTCAGCTCAGGCGTTGGCTTGTTCTTAGATAGCCGCTTATTTTGTGTCACTGGTCTGGACCGTGAAGGGAGTTAGGCAGGGCCAGGCTCCGTGTCGCTGCCGACACTGCAGCTCCCAGGCACCCCTGTGTCTGCAGGGCACGTCCTGGCTCCGCGTCCCCACTGCTGGGAACCGGTGGCACATGGGCACTGCTGCCTGGGGGCAGGGCACAGGTCAGTTTTTCTTCTGTGAAAGTTTCCTGTCCAGGATCTTCAGGCTGGAGGCAGAAACAGTCCCCTCACCCCACCCTGTATTCGTGGTTGCTGGGTTGGTCGGTCACAGCAAGGCAGGGTGATGCCACTCCGCCTCGGGGTCAGCCGAGCAGTCCCGCGCTTTACTGGCGGGGCCAGGGGTGTCTGTGAAGCTCCTCCCCCTGTTCTCGAGCCCTGGCTCTGCAGGCACCGCCCGCGTGCATTCAGGGCGCACTTGCCCTGAGCCTGAATGTTGTCTTGTACAGAGCTGGGGAGGACAAGGACACAGCCCCCCCGTGCCACAGGCCTCAGCCCACAGGTCCTTCTCACTTGCGTTTCCAAGATGGAGAAGCCAAGGACGCACTGCTCCCCTGCGGGTCCCCTAAACGCCTCACCTGGGCACAGACCAGCTCCTGGCCACCATCGGTGGGTGGTCTCCCTGTGAGCGGTGCTGGAGCTGGGGGAGCAGCCTGGAGCCAGGTCCCTGGAGGGAGCTGCGTCCCCAGCTCCTGCCTGCCGGTGCAGTGCCTTTCCCTCGGCAGGTGGCACAGGGCACACCTGGCCCAGAGCGACCCAGGCTCCAGGCCACCCTGCTGAGGCCCTGGCTCTGGCTCCTGCTGTTTCAACAGGACTGAATCCTCTCCTGCGGCCTGCGGGGGTGGCTCGGAAGGAGGTGTGTCGGGCTGAGCCTGTGCCCGGGTAGGAAGGGACACCACAGGGCCCGTCACTCCTCCCGTGCCCGGGCTCTTCCTCACCCCAGGCCTGCGCAGGGCCCTTCAGTGCGTGTCCTGCGTCCTCGTCCTGTGACAGCCTGGGGAGCAGCCAGGCAAGAGCAGCGTCCGCCCCCGCGCTGGCCAGGCTGTCGCGGCTGTGAACGGGGCAGTGCCGACCTCTGCTCAGGGGGCCCTCCCACACCTCCGAAGGCCCCCGTGGACACGTCCTTGAATGTGGCCGGAAGCCATGGGATCGCGAAACTGTGGCTTGGTCCTTCAGCTTGGGAGAGGAGCCCGAGTCCCACAGCCACTGCCCCTGCCTGTTTGTACCTTAGGCCTTTTCACTGTATCTGAACAAATATATAGTTTCTGACACTATTTTTATACTAGGACGAGGGAGTCACCGTGTACCTCATGTTTAGCTTTGTAATCTTGGTCACTGTCCTCTCCCACCCCTGAGCCACCCAGTGGCTCTTCTGTGCCACTCACCACCTCTGGCAGCTGTGAGGCCACCAGCCGGCCAGGGAGGCTCCTGCACTGTGCAGACCCTCCCATCTGCTTCCTCGAGTTGCCCTGCTTTGCAAAATAAAGAATGAACTGGTCCATGAGTGCCGTGTGGTTGTCAGGGGACCTGGGGTCTTTCCAGTCACAGACTGAAGGGGACTTTGGGTCTTGGGCGGGGGAAGTCGGCCCAGGGGTTTGAGACACCGAGATGGCGCCCACCCAGGTCCCACGGGGAGGAAAGGCGTGGCTTGGCCCCCTGACCTCGCCTGCCCTCCTCCCAGCGTGGCCCTCCTCCGGGCAGGGCCTCGCTGCCCTCTGAGCACAGCCAGGTGTACACAACCTGGCATCCCGTTCAGGTTCACCTGTGACTGGGTGACACCATTGTCAGTGCTGCTGGCCGAGGACCCCACCCCACTTACTGCCTGCTGGACAGGCCCCAGGTGGCCTGTCCAGGCTGCTCCTGGGTCAAAGCTGGCGGAAGTCCGTGCCTCCAGGGGACAAATGGCTTCCCCTAAGGGCCACTAGAGGGCACGGTTTGCAGGTGTCTTCCTTCCTGGCCATAAAGAAGGGATGAGGACGTTTTGGGGTAGAAAAGAGAAGAGAAAAAAAAATATGAGGCAGGGCAGGCAGGAAGGAAGAGGATCTAAGGAGAATAAGTAGGGAAAGTGGATACCCTCTGACCTACCTGCAGGAGCCCACGCGTGGATGGCTCCCGAGAGCCGCAGGGCCCTGCCCCAGCACAGCACAGGGACAGGCTCCCTCCCCCCCTCTCCCCATAGGCTGGGAATGTCCCTCACAGGCCCTGCCTGGGCACGTGTGTGTGTGTGTGTGTCAGCATGTGTGTCTGTGACTGAGTGTGTCTGTGTGTGTGTCTCTGTGTGCGTGTCTCTGTGTGTCTCTGTGTGCGTGTCTCTGTGTGTGTCTCTGTGTGAGTGTCTCTGTGTGTCTCTGTGTGCGTGTCTCTGTGTGTCTGTGTGTCTCTGTGTGTGTGAGTGTGTGTGTGTGTGTGAGCATGTGTGTCTGTGACTGAGTGTGTCTGTGTGTGTGTCTCTGTGTGCGTGTCTCTGTGTGTCTCTGTGTGTGTGAGTGTGTGTGTGTGTGTGTCTGTGTTTACTGGCTTCATTTTTAGAGTCATTTGGGGATCACATCAGAACTGAATGGACAGTGTAGAGGGCTCGCACGCCCACTGCCCACTCCACTGCTGACGGGGATGCATCCACACCTGGAGGTCTGAGGGCCTAAACCAGTGGACAAGGCCCGTGTCCCCATTACGCTGCTGCAGTGCAGGTTCACTGCCCGAGAGTCCTCTGCTCTGCCTGCTCCTCCCTCTGTCCCCCCAGTCCCTGCTGTCCCCCGCCTTCACTGCCCCCTGGTTTGCCCTGTGGCTGGGTGGGTACAGCAGTGCTCCCCGTCGGCTCCCTTCACTCAGAGGGTCTAGCTTGCCTCTGTGTCTCCCCTTCTGCCTGGGCTTGGTAGCTCGCTTCCTTCAGCTCTGAAGAGGACTCCGTGGAGGGACGGGCCACCAGGAAGTGTGTACGTGGACAGGGTTCTTTCACACATGCCGATTTCCCTGCCTGGACACCTCAAGGAAAATGTTCATTCAGTACACTCCTTTTAAGTCAGTGAAGACTGTATCGGGTAAAATAGATTGTGTGAGTGTTTGGATGCTGTAAAATAGACGTTTACATTTTCAGTGCAGAAGTAGCAGCTACAAGTAGACAAGTAGCCCTGCAGAGTGGACATGGAGTGCTACGGTGCTGATTCTGGTCAGTGCTTCTGTCTAGGGATCCAAGGGTTAGGGTTCCCTGGGTAGCTGCTGCTTGCCATGAGGGTACATCTGGAGGAGCTGAGTGGCTGTGCTCTGCCATTCCCTGAGCCCCCTCCAGGTGGACGTCTCTGCCGTCCTCCCAGCCCCCTCCAGGTGGACGTCTCTGCCACC